CTGATGATGACAAAACCTTGTCGAAACGTTTTACATTTGCTGTTATGTTATACTTAATTAAAGTTTTTCTTCATTACCCATTCAAGCCATCATAAGTAGGTGGTATATTAAATAATTAAAGTTTAAAAATCCCATAGTGATATTAGCCTAAGTTGGAGCAACTCTTATATCCATTGCTGTACCAGAAATTTGTTGAAAATTTTATTCCTCATAAGTGAACAAAACAATTTTTTAAAATTATATCTAAACCTTTGTTAGACCTGGAATGAATTAATTCCTTGTATCTATCTGGAAAACATTCAATAACTTTAAGTTCATAATCATGTTCAATACTTGTTTTTTTTTTCACTTTTTATAATTGAATCCTTAAAGTTAATTATTCTTTACTTTTTGGAAGCATCCTTTGAAGTAGTTTATCTTTAAATCTGATCTATCTTTCAAACATTATTTAGAATAAACCAACAGCTATTATAGATATAACCAAAACACACAAACTTCCACCTGTTGATACCTATAACAAAACACTAGTGTATAAGACTAATCTGTTTTTTCTTTTCCTTTATTAATTTCTTCAACTGGTTTCATGACTTCCAAGATCACTTTTCAGGATGTAATTTTATAGACAATCTATAATATAAACATTCAAATACAAGTTTTAAACTAAACATAAATAAATTAAATGCATATGTTTTCCAAATGTATACACATACAATACACTCCTTATATAAATAAGTATATTAGAATATGCTCAAAAAATAAATTAAATTTGTGAAAGCTTATTTTCTGGTACCACTTTAATAGATAGAGGTAAGAGGGCAGAAGTAGCAGTGGTAGTATAAGATCAGTTGGATTTCTAAAACTGTAAAAACTATGACTAAGAATAAAAAAAGGACAATAAAGTAAGAGGCATAAACTGTATTTCTATCATAACAAGAGAAAGCATAATTAAAATAAGATTTTTAAAAAGGAAAGTATATTGGATAAGCTTTAACTGATTTCATTCATTTATACAAGGAATGTATTATATATATTTGTACATCTGGAAAGCATAAATATTTATCTTAGCTTACATGTGTTTAGTTGGAGAATGGTATTTGATTGTTTTTATTGTATATTCGCTGTAAAATTACATTCCAAAAATTGATGTTTGAAGTCATTAATAAAGGAGAGAAAAAACTTTGTGTATTAGTTAAACCCATTTAAATAAATACTTCACCTTATGAAACTTTTTGTGTGTGAAGTTATCTTCTAAAAATTACATACTGATAGCAAAGGATAACTTGCATCTTCCAAGCTGTCCTTGTATACCTACCTTTGAGAAAAGTTTCAACTGTCCTTTGTTTTTCAGGAAATTTTCAATTTCCTTCATAACTCCTGTAAAGTACTTCTCTCCACTATTGTTGATAGCAGCTCATTCCATAAGCCAATCACCCTGTTAAAAGAATAAAACGTTTTACTGGAACTTATCCTGTGATTTCCAAAATTTAAACTTGTGTACTTTTGTCCTATTATCTTCGGTTTACAGCATAGAAATCAGATCCCCTGGATAATCTTGTAAACTTAAATAATATCATCTCTTATTCTTCGTTTCTCAAGAGAAAATTAAGGATCTTAAAGGTAACTGTATGAGATAACAGTTCCATCCCCACAATTATCCTAGTAGCCCTACTCTGAACCACTTCCAATAAATATACTTTAAGGAGACTAAAATTCTACTCAGTATTCCAAATGAGGCCTGACTAGTCAAAACACTAAGTCTCAATAGGTTCATTGCCACACCAGAAGTTTTAGTTTTATGACAGTGTGATCTTTGTGGGTAAAATCCATATGTATATTTACTAAGTTGCATTCTAGAATAAATCTACATAAAAAAAAGTAGAAACTTGTTTCATATAGTGACCTATGCAGTTAAAAAGCTTTTACAAATACTTTTTGTATTAAGTTACATTAGGCAGAAAGATAGATAATGGATTTTCCTTCCCTACAAACACGAGCATTGAATGCACATTTTTATAATTTCAAGGTTTCACATTTTTGTCTTCATGCCCATTGTCAGTGTGAATAATCGATGTAAATGTAAGAGACATTAGACATAAATTTTATGCTAGTAGTTGGTATTGCTTTTATTAGGTTTGTCCAAAATAATGTTTCATGTGTTATTTGTGTAAGTATAGTGTTGTTTTAGTGTAAAACAATTTTGAGTCATTCTCTTTCATTATGTGTAGGCCAAGTTTACATTAGAATACTGCATAAACATTAAAACTACAAACCATGATGTTTTGATGAATTTTTCATAATTCATTTTTGTCTTAACAATAGCTATTTGATTTCTTTTGTTTATTTCTGTAAACTTCAGTATCGTCAATTTTACAGATACCTTTTATGATTTTGCAAGCTTATCAATTTTCATTTATTAATGCATAACTTTACTATTCATTGAAAAATAATTTTTATGGACTTTCTTAAGTAGTATTTTCTGAAAGTAAATCATAAGAACAACTTAGAATTATAATTACACATTATTCAAGTAAATGTGGAAAATGGTAAAAGTTTAAGTAACTAATGCTATTATGCTACTTACTATTTTTTGTATTGTAAACTGAGTGCACCAGATGCTGGTAGATGTTACTGCCAACCATGATTACTTAATCATGTATATTTATAGAACTTGCAAGTATATTTGCATTTAAAAATTTAACAAAACTGAGGGGAAAATATCTATAAGGAAAAAAAGCAATATAATGACTCTACCATTATAATTGAGATTTTATTGATTAGAAGATATGTTTTATGTTAATTTAAGTTGCTTGGCTTTTACATATATATGTGTGTGTGTATTGGTGACCTATAAGCACTGCTTATTTTTCATATCTTATTCAAATAAGACTCTAGTTTATCCTGTTCTTTTACAGTTTCGTAATCAGTATGACAATGATGTAACAGTTTGGAGTCCACAAGGGAGGCTTCATCAAGTAGAATATGCAATGGAAGCAGTAAAACAAGGATCAGCTACTGTTGGTTTAAAAAACAATACTCATGCTGTTCTGTTGGCATTGAAGGTACTGTAATTTTAATTTTTCATTTAACAAATTTGACTTTAAATGTTTAAAGTTTAGTTAAGAAAAAGTGGTACTGTTTATAACATTACTCTGTAATGGTTCTTTCAACATAAATTTTCTTGCCATTAACAGATGTCTTACAGACTTAAGAAATAGAACTTAATGATTTATTGGAAAAAATGTATTTATACATTTACTTTCATAATTTCTTTTTAACCAAAACAGAAATATGTTGAAATTCCACTTTTTCAAATGTTGAGGAAAATTGGTAATTTATCCTAAAATAATCATAATTTCAGCTAGGTTTAATTATGTCTCTACAGAGAGACATACTGTTTTTGTATTGTTTCTTCTTCTTCCAAACACATTCCAATCAATTACCATTTCTAGTCTTTTTAGGGGGGTCAGAGCTCACAAAAATGCACAATTTTTGGGTTTGGGTCAATTGCTTGGCCATATTTTGGAACAAGGAACAGTGATATATTAACAATTAGAACATTTGATGTAAAATTGGATTTGATTATCCAGATTTCTTGTAGGCTTGTCATTCAATTTATTTTTACAAATAACGTTTCCTTTTTTGGAGGGAAATCTACATTTATTAGCTAATTTTTCAGCACACATTGGGTGCATAACGTTCCTGCAGCCTTGCTGAACAGATTAAAAATATCAGTAATGCTATTTTGTGATTGTATTATAAATTTGTTTTCTATCATGCTGATAATTTGTTAATTATGTCTTTTTAATGAAGAATATTTTGTTCTTTGTCAGAGAGCATCTTCTGAACTATCAGCACATCAGAAAAAAATCATCCCCATTGACAGTCATGTTGGAGTATCTATCGCAGGTTTAACTGCAGATGCTAGAATTTTGAGGTAAAGTGAAAAATTAAATGATTTATCATTTAATAAGCACATTGGATCCTTGTAGTAATTACCTTTTATAACAATTAACAATATAAAATTATTTGTATTTTTTAATTAAAACAAAGGAATTAAAAGAAAATTAATACTGGAAAAGATAAACTGAATTTAAATATGTCCTTTGTATGAGATATAAACTTTATTAAATGAATTAGAAATACAGGTTAGTTACAGCATTTTGTGTTGCAGGATCTGTAATGAATTGTTTTGCAAAAAAAAAGTTTAATGTACAGTCAGGCCTTGACGTTAAATGTTGAAATGATTGCTAGTTAATTTTTTTCCCATCCAGCAGCTTTGGGTGTGCTACTAGACAAGTAAAATAGTTTTTTCTACTAAAATTAACAGACTCTGTCATAATTAACTATTTAATGTATTAATTGTATATATATTAATATATATATATATATATATATATATATATATTATTATGTGTATGAATTTTCCTTGTCATGTTTTCTTTTCAAATATTTTCAAATATCAAAATTCGTTTTAACTATTTCACAAAAGTTTAAAGACGCTCAGTTTCAGTAGAAACTGGTGTATCTAGGCCATAAGCTCCTAGATCAACAACATTTACAGTGTATTTTATTATCAAAAGTTACAGTTAAAAGCTGAAAGCTAGCAAAGCATTAGAAGTTAGTAACCTTAACATTTGCATTAATCGTGAACAAATGAAAAGAAATATGGAAAAAAACATTTGCAGTTTGCATGATTTCTATTTTGTAATATATTACCTCCAATGATTAACTACTTGCTAGAGTATTTCTAACCAAAGTATTGGCACTTTAGAAGCTGGATGGTGTGAGTTTAGCCAGATAACACATGTGATAGTTGACATGGTAAGCAATCAAATGACTTGAAGCTGGAATATTGCTATCCTCATTTCTTGATACTTAACCTGGGTATGCCATACAGCTCAAATGGGGAATGCAAAACCAGCATGGCACTGGCAAGTAAAACAGTCCTGTTGATCACAATTATAGTAACCTTCTGTACTCAGAATATTGTAATATAAATGTCAGAAATGCATGTAACATGGGTGTATTTACATTTGACAGTAAGAATCTGTGACACACTCTCTTGAGACGTGACTCCCTTTATTCAATTCTACCGAACTGTCACTTCTCATTTGGCAGTTTTTTGTTTGTGCCCTCTTCCCGTGTTTTTTTTAACTTTCATACAAAGTGGAGATATTTTCTATTTTTTTCTACTTCACGTGACCAGTTTTAAATGATAATTTGCCTTTGTTGTTCTTCACCAAAGCCTATGTTTCCTCTTTGAAAATGTTATCATTTACTTCCAGTACAATTAACCAGGCTTCAGATGGTGGTACTCATCTGAAGAATTGTTAGATTTAACATGTCAGGAGATTGATCATTATATGAGTTTACCTTTTTCAGGCCTAGAGTTTGGGGGCCCACACATTTTGAATCCAGTCTGCCGATTTTGGACAGATAAGCTGTTATACTGTTATAGCTTTCTGATTATTTTTCATATTAATGCTATTATTCGTAGTTCTTTGATTTCAGTAACGTGTTTAGTTAGATTTGTATTTTTTGTATGATTAGGGTTTTTTCAATTCAAGTTTATTGATATCATTTGTACTACAACGTTAGAGTAGGCTTAACATGTGTCTTTGTTATGTTAGGGGTAACTGTCTTTCATCTTACTGGTAAATCATAAATTTGGTTAAACTTATTGTTTCTTCAACAAATAATATCTACTAAATTATTTATTGTCAATATACACTTACTTAATTTTAAAATATAATGACTATTTCATTTTTGTAATTAATTATATTTTATACTTATTACAATTAATTTCTGGACTTCTGGGGCTGGAGTCTGCCCAATCTTCTCCCATAATTGCTTACCTTTCTCCTCAAATTGTCAAAACTATTTGGGATGACGTATATTTTGACAATTTTCCTCCACCTGATTATGACTTGACCTTCCCAGGCCTCTACTGTGGAGCCTGCTAGACCTGCTCAGCCTTTTTTTCTGCTCCTTTTCTAGACATTTTGGCTCATGCTGGGCCTTTTTGTTTCTCTTTTGAGAGATAGAACTGGCTTGCCTCACCCTTCATGGGCTGTGGTTCATTTTGCCTTAGCTTACCATCAGGCAGATTATTTTTGTTTTCTTGCTTCTCTGCATTTAATCTCTATTGTCTGTATGGGGGGGCAGACCTTGTTAATCCTATCCCTAGTCAAGTTTTCCAGCATTTATCTTAGCCTACTGTGTCTTCTTATGGTATTGTCTGCCATGCACATCCTTTTTGAGTTGTTTCACATATCTCTTGGGGGATTTTCATGGAATACCTTCCTCCTCTTTGCCTCCATGTTGGAGTAATTGGCATCTTTGGCTCTTACCCTACATATGTGGTTTCTTTGCTTTTGGGATCTTCTGGGGTGGGCCGCTGTCTTGGACAGCTCTTTTTCTCCACTAGCCCATTTTTTTGGGGAGGGGTGTTATTCCTGTGACTTTAGCATCACATGGAGTATCTATGTTGCTATATTCAATTTGTTTTCTTTTTTGGTAGCTCTTTTATCTCTTTAGCCATTGCATTCTTTATTCATGTTCCACGTTTAGCTCCTTCCCATCATTTACCTGTCCTACATCTAGGAGTTCTTCCATTAGTCATGTATTCTAGATGCAGATTGGAGTTCTGTGTTCGATCTGTCCCTCCTCAAGCACTTCTTGATTCTTTCCCTTTTTACTATGTTGTCTTTTATCACACTCTGGTGGACCATTTCTCTGGGACTGAGGATGCCCAAGGTCAATGGTTTTGTATTCTTATTCTCACTTTCATATTTTTCATCCCTCATGGCGCTGTCTTAGGTTGTACACCATGGGGTTGGGTACCAGTTTCGTGTCTTGTCCTTCGAGCTTGTATTAGATCTGTATGTCTTTATTTCTGGTTCCTCATCCACTTGCCTTGGCTGTCTATGCATTCAGACAGGATTTATTTTCTCACCCCATTCATCATCTTCCCTTGGAGATTTTGTTCATCCTTGCCACTCTGTGTCAGGTCTTTCTGATTGCTCCTTCCTGGCTGACACAGATCTGGTTTTCTTGGCTGCTTCAGCTCAATCTGTTCTTTTTGTTCTGGGTCAATTTTTCCTACCTTACACTTTGGCGACTTGTGTGACATGTTCTTTTTTAATCATTTTCATTTTCTTCTACCTTTATTCCCGATTACCTATGTCCTATACATGCTCTGGGTTGCTTCATTTTCTTCAAGGCTTCTTTTTGCTGGCTCACTTTCCTGCTGTTTCATTTCCTGGTACCACTCCTCTGTTTGTGATTTTTTCTTCCTTTTCTCTTTTTTTTTCCTGTAATCAATTCCTGGTGTCTTCACTATAATCAGAAACCTTCCCTGTTACCTGGTTCTCACCCTTGTCATATGTTGGAGGTATTTCTTCCGTTGAACACTGGAACTACACCTCATACGTTTATCTCCTATTATCTGCTATGGGTAGCTGTTTCTTCCTCATCGAGGTACCATCATCCACCTGTTTCCATCTTTCACTCTTTGGTGGGACTTTGTATATATACCTCATATTAATTTAGGGACACGTTCCTTATTTCTTCATGGATTCTGCTCTGGCCATGATGACTTAACAATTATAATTTTCATCGCCAATGAACACATACTGTTGAGATGGGGTGTTCCACAAGATCACCTATAGGTTTTTCCTCATGATATATCTGCTTCATTAACATGCCTGTTCCGAACCATACTGACCCATGGACTTCATGGGTAAAGCAGAAGGGGATAATTGCCCATTCCTGCCATTCTTTAGTTTGAATAAACCAAGAGTGGTCTGCTTTTCAAAATAGGGTTTTTGTGGTCACTCATTGCACTGTCCCCACTTTTTCTTTCAGTGGAATACAGAAGTCCTCACCACTTTCCTGTTCCAAGCTGCTAGGTTGGTGGACCATGGAGGTATCCTCCTGAATGTGATAGTGCTATAAGATACAAAAAATAATGAATCCACTCAGTTGAGAGTAGGATGGTGGTGTTCTGCTGGTGTAGATGATGATATGTCCTCCAATCTGATGCTCCATCTCTGAATGGTCTATCTGAGGAGATGTTGTAGCTTTTGGAGTGAGCTGTCAAGACTGCAGTTCACCCCCTTTGATTGGGATCCCTCATCCTACCCCCATATTAGTGTCAGTTCTCAGTAGCTGGGTTTTGGATTCAGAGCAGGACCAATCAATATATGTTCTCACACATATATTACTGGTGACTCTGTTCCCTTACTCAATTAGCCTCATGTTTTGTCTTGAATATTATGTTTTGACAACATTTTAAGACACTTGTAAGTTCATTCTTCATGTCCTGAAATGTTGTCAAAATATAATATTGAAGGCAAGATCCAATAATAAAAACCTTCCTGATAGTGCAAAAAACTTTTTTTTATAATTATCATAAATATTTTGTAACAGATTTTTGATCTACTGATGGACATGAAAATACAACTTAGCTTCTAATTCAAATACAGAGTATTTCAGCAATTTTGTATAAAAATATATAAATTATGTTTTTTACTTTTCAATATTCCTGTCATTAACCTGTAATATATTTGTTTTGTCAGATTTTAATATTCTTATTGCTATACACCAGTTCAATAGCTTGAAACTAATGCTAACAAAACCTATAAGGAACTAGAACAAAACTGCCAGAAAAGAAAAGTTATAATTTTCCTATACTAAAAATGTATTTCCGATAGGTACTTACCTTCTAATAAATAAATAGTTATTCTCGTTCAGTGCTGCCCTCTACATGCAAAAAAATTTTCACATACCACAAGCCTTGAGATCCCATGTTTCCAATGATCAACATGGTTCAACTGCATCTCGCATGTAAATCATCATGTGACAACTCTCCACCAATAGGATTGCGACACACTCTCCTGATGCATGTGACTCCTTCTATTCGATTCTACCGAG